ACATTTATTAGGCATAAAGACTTCTGAGTTCTGGTGCATTTGTGCGTGCAGGGGTCATTATGTTACCACTATGCGGCATCTAGTTTTTCAATATAAGATCATTTTAGTTTAAACTCTGGCATGAAAAACAAGAAGCAATATGTATTTGTTCAAGGAATACTGAGCCTTAAATTGATTTTAGGTCTTCATTATGATTGCAAACAGTTGGAGTCAATGACGATGGTATTCCACACAAGAACTGTCCTCCTTCATTCCTCATGACTATAACCACCACCCTTTACATATTTTCTCACCCAGCTTCATGCATTCTTTCCAAAAGCTGGCAACTCAAATTAACAGTTTGATGACCAACTATAAAGGCCACATCCACTTATTCACATTTATTTTAGACTGGACGTGTTTTAAGAATTTTTTTTTCTCTGAGCAGCCGTTAGCTTGGATGAACCGTGAGAAAATCTCTGATTCTTCAAACAGATGCATTCCACAGCAGATAGGCTGCAGATTACTGTGAAATGTGACTGTTCCTCTGATAAACCATTTCAAAATCTGAACTATCCTATTAATATGAAACAGTTTAGTAAAAACAGATGTCTGCATTAAGTTGTAAAAAACACTCCATCATAGCCCACTGTGAAACCGTGAAAGGCAGGTGATACAAAATGTGTGTTTTACATGATCAGGTTCAAAAATCTAAGGTCTAACTTTTCTTAAAGGACTGCCTAACATCCAGGTTTTAGCTTAATATCTGTAATAATACCCTTATTTCTGTAAATATGTCTGAGTTATGCCTAGTTATGATGCTGTGGCAGCCAAAAATGTCAAAGACGTACATCTTATTGTTTTTCTGAAAGTTTTATTGAAAGTAAGCTCAGTATTTTGTGATATATTTTACTAACGGCAAGTGAAAATTAAACTGAGATTGTTGTTGAAGGCTACATCTTAGTCCACTTTCAGTTCTTTTTTTTATTACGGAAGTTCTGTGTTATTTTGTCATTCAGAACTTGACTTTCTAAAAATAAAGAGCAACTCCTCAGCCTACACATGGACTGAATCATCAGAAATCCTGTATTCGCAGTCATTCATTTACTCCATAAAGCTTTTTGTGACATCATGACAAGCAACAAAAGAGGGAGAGAAAACGTTTAATCAAAGTCAACAGAAAACTCGGCACACACATTCCACACTCATTATAATGAAGCTAAAATGGACGTTCTTCATCTCCTTAAACAGTTCTGTACAAAATGTAAGAATGTTGTTTCTCAACTAAACATCCTCCTTTAAAGATCTGTGCCAGGATTTAACGCTGTTAACTTTGAGATGCAATTAATGCCGTTTAAAACTATAATCTGATTAAGTGTTATTACATAAAAG